GGGGGCAAGTTGGGTGACTTGTTGTGAGGATTGAAGATACAAGAACAATGTCCAAAGTTGCCAGTTTATCTGACACTTCTTCTGCCATTGTCCAGGAATACAAACCCAACTGGCGCAGTAGTTTAGCCCAGCAAGCATAGAACTTTGGAAGGTGCTCTCCAGAATTGGTTATGTGGTCGAGGATTAGTTGAGTGCTGCTGTCATTGGGGTGCTGATTCAAGGGGGAGTGGTTGGAAGAAAATTGAGTACATTTCTTGCTAGGTTGTGAGGTAGAGGTGGAAGCATTTGAGGAAGGAAAAGGAACAGTAATTATTTTGGATTTTGATTTGAAACCATTAGCTTGCTGAAAATAGCTGTTGTGACCTGTTGATGAGCATGCCTACTTGCAGAGCTGATCGAGCTACTTTTGTGGCTTCTGAGCTTTTTAGGATGAATGCTTCCGGTTTCAATCTCAAGCCCATTTTCAACTTGTTTGTCATGGCAGTCTTTTTGCAAATTAAAAAAAATCAATACATTGATTGTAGATTTGAATCAACTCAAGAAGAAAGACATAGCATACAGACATAACATACCATCCACAATGAGGCCAATCATCATGCTTGTTGTGGTGAGCCAAATCAAAACTTCCAAGCCTCAATGCACTGCGCAATTAGGACAAGAAGACCCCAAACACCTTGGTCCTCAGGCCAGACAGCAACCTCAAGGCACCCAGACCACATGTGGGGGAAGAAAGTCCCATCTCAGACAGAGCCAGGGTATTAGGAACCCTCCTTGTTTTCTCTTGTTTCTTTCTTTCCCTTCCTGGAGATACTGCATATGCACTCCTCTTTCTCTTATCTCTCTGTTTCACACTAATGCACCCACTTGGGGATTAGTATCTTACCTCTATGCATGTGCCTGCATGTGGCTATACGTGTTTCAGACTTATGTACCCATTTGAGTAAGCAGGCTATGTCATTGTCTCCTCTTTGGTCTTAGCAGCCACCCTCTGGGCCATAGTGTTTCAGTTTGATATTTTTCACTTGTTCTTTTTTCTCAAACCACAAGCTGGCCACTCCCCAGATTTTGTATATAAGGAGCCATGTCAGCTTGCTACTATGGCAGAGACAACCTGTCATAAGCAAATAAAATAATAAATTACATAAAAAATCTAAGTATAAAGTAAAAATATTACATAAGTAAAATAAACACTATTGCTTATGTAAATAATATAAAAACACATAAAAAATAGAATCAACTTAGGAATAATATATGATTATTATTGCAGATTCTGAATCTACATACAATTTAACCTAGAGTACCTTAGCCAAAGGTACCCCTAATTGTAACTCCTTCATCCAGTAATACTCACTTGAATAATTAACGGGTGCCCATAGATCAAGGGCACCTGAATAATTATGCATCACACACAACAATAAGCATATACTGCAAATCTTGTCTCATATTTGGAGTGTTGTGTATAGTTTAGAAGATAGAGTTGAGTGGCATGTATTGTCTCCAACTTCCAAGCCCCCGTGCTGCGTAGTCATGCTTCGCACTGTTGACAGGCGCGCTTGACTACAATTGAGCCCAATACTCAAGCCCCCACGCGTACTAGATATGCATAACCACCTTGGATACACGCATAAAACCCCCCTGGGTTACCAGTATCCAAGAAATGGGCCACAAGCTCCACGTAACAGACTAGCCCCTACCCACAGGCTCCTAAGGGATATTCTTGGTTCAAATAAATTCGTGCATGACCCCTTGGAGCTTCTAGAATATTATCCCCAAGGTTTCAGCCCTTGTTGTGTCACCATGTGGGCTAAAATGGGCCCAAAAGCGCTCCCAAGACCTACTAAGCTCCCCTGAGCAACCCCTGAGGCCTTCCACAGGTATTTAAAGGGCCTTCTGACCGCCCAAATAATGATCCCCCAGCTTTACAATACTATATAGAAACATACTTACCATTTACAAGTCCCCTACACTTGTAATTAGCCTAGTTATTACTATTTTTACTGTTATTAAGCCTCAAGATTCCTCAAAGAAATTCCCCAGTTATCACACAGCACCCAAAATCAACCATTCTGAGCGCTCCCAACTGTCCAGTTTCTACTAATAATATCCTCAAGACCCCTTTGGATTATTACTAGTAAGTAATAACCCTTTCTTGAAGATTTTCACTAAAAATTAACTCCTGGGATTTAAACCACACCTGCTACAGGCCCCAGTGTACCAGGTACCTAAATCCTCTGCTTTTTGCACAATACCTTAGAGGGATTAAACCACCCCTGATTTATCAGGCCACTCTGGTTTAATTTATGTTAATTTTATTAATATAAATTAGCCAATTTTTGGATTTTATCCATAAATTCTACGTAATTCTTCTGAATTACTTATACCAGTTTTATCCCTGAGTTTTTACCATAAAAATTCTTACTTTTTGCACCTTGTGTAGCTAGAGGAGACGTGTCTTGGCATCACATAGTCTGAAAAGCCATGTTTTCCCCTCATCATTTGTTCCCTCATCAGTTCCCTGACGTGCAGCCTGGTCACATAGTTAGCTTATAGTTTTTAGACATAGTTAGCTTATAACTTTTAGTCATAGTCCTTAGTCATAGTCCTTAGAAAAAGTCCTCAGAAATATTATCACACGTTTTAGTCAGAAATAGTCCGCTACATCTTCAGAGAGTATTTGAACTCTCCTTGTCTACTACCTTATCACCTTTCACAGGAGGGCAGCCTTATTCACGGCGCATTTACCCTTCCACACTCTATCTGATCCCACCGGGTAGTTCCACAAGTGGTGTCCCAACAGTGGCCCAAGGATCTTTAGATTAAACAGTCAAATTTTGGTTATCCATTACAAAATTAAGACAAAAACCCTCAAAAAAGTTTTTACATTACTATCATCACTATCTCCTGCCTTTTGCCACACTTAAAATTTCATAAAAAAATACCAAAAATTATTAGATTAGATTTACTTCATAGCTTCTAGAAATTTCTTACTGCAACCAGCCAGTTCCTATAAAACTCTACTTGTCCAATGTTGGACAATTACCAAACAACTTAACTTTCAACCCTGGACCATTCCGTGATCAAAACAATGTCTTGGAAAATTTGACCTCAGTGACTTGCAAATCATTTTGCAAGTCACACTCTCATGCATGGAGATTTTCAAAAATGGCTTTCTACTAGCCACATCTAGCCTTATAATGAGTAATGGGAGCTGAACATGCATGCTTGGTTGTGCAGATTGATTTGCAAGCCCCTTTGCAAGGTATTTGCACTCAACTCTGAATCCCACTATTATTGGAACCCTTGCTTTAAGTCTGCATGATATTTGTCAGGAAGTCATAGGGTAAGAGACTTGATTCATTCAGTTACGTATGTCATAATTGTGCTCAGAGAAGTCAAGGAATCAAATGGAAGAGCATAATTTGCAAAGTAAAAGGTAATGTGGGAGAAGAAAACAGGCAAAAATAGGGCTTTCTTACTCACAAACTCATAATTCTGAAAAAGGTCTTTTTTGATTGAAGTTTGGGAGCTAGAGTTTAATTCGGATTGGGGAGGTCTTTGACTGGATTTGTCTGCTCTAAGCAAACATCATGCCTCCACACTTAGACGCATTACATTTGCATGGCATGTCTCGAGCAAGGTTTTCATCATTCTCTTGATCCGTCTTCCTTGTTGTTTGGATCTGCATACAAAGTTGTAATTTCTGTGCCTGTTTTGATGTTTTTCTTTGCAAACATGGCAAATATCCTATGTTGCATCATCCTGTTGTTATTTTCCAAAAGTGGTCCATATGTTGGTCAATAAATTCTTTTATTTGGTCACAATGAAAAACACAAATATAACACTCTGAAACAGCAGTAGCAAGCCATCCAATATTGATTTGCAAGGAGAAAGTAAGGAAATTGTAACTGGGTCAGCATTCCAGGACATACAACAAGAATGAAGCGGGCAATTAGTTGGGAGCTTACATCCTCAATTTAAACAGGCAAAATAACTGTGTTGGCGCTACAGGAATGATTGACGAACCAAGAAATACTCTGGTGTTTGTCTGCTCAAATAACAATGGGCCCTTTGTGGTCATCAAGGAGTCCCAACCCTTTGACTTTGAAGCAACACTGGAATAAAGGCAGGAGTCAGCTTCATGTCACCTGACATGTACTGCCCTCAAATATTTTGTGGTGTATGTGTAGGGGGATGAATCAGATGGAAGACTTACAAAACGCATCAACACTATAAATAGACTCAATTACAGTCTCCTTTGGTTTGGGTGATTTGCTTACTTCCTCCTTGGCTTTGAATGAGGAATCAATCATCAAGGGGTCCAGTGATGTTCCAAAGGTTACTAGCACTTGTGAGCATCTGAGGATTGCTTGCCTTCATAGAGCAAAACTAGCCCTTAACTTGCAAGACTGTTTTGGTTAATTGTCTTTATCCACCATGGATCAAGGGCAAACAGGTGAGTTCTGATGTTTGATCATATTTACTATTGCCGTGCTCATGAGCCATTGTGTTGGAAATCAGCTCGCCACTGTTGATGTCCCATCTTGATCAGTGCTACCCAGGGGGTTTACCATACACATTAGGAATCAATCAACTAAGGAAAAAAGGGAACACACCTCTAATGTGTGACAAGTTGGCCAGTGGGAATTTTATGGTCAGCAAAAACACCTAAAAGTAGGGTGCATAAATCTGATCAGCTGCTGTTTCTGGTGCTCTGGAATCAAGTGAGCTACTAACCCCAACCAGATGAAAGTGTCTTCTGAATGGATGATTGCTCTCAAAGGCCCCTGCCAACTGTCTAAAGCATTCAAATAGTATTAGAATTGTGTGCAAACAGTGTTGGAATCTCATCAAATAGAGAAAACTTACTCTATTGATGCAGTTACGGCTACACCCACACTGCATGACATATCATGGTCATGATCAGTTGTTGAAAGAATCAGGGGCCAACTCAAAGCTATTGTCTTACTTTGGAAAGCTATTGTCTTACTTTGGAGCTACATTCAAATACTGGGAACAAATATTCCAGGAACAATTTGGCCATAGACCTGGGGCATGATCCCATTGTTGGGTTTCTTGGAGTGAGAATGTTGTGGTCTGTGATTGAAGACATGGGCAAAGCCTTGAAGGTCTTGCACACTCCAATCCAGGTTGACATCGGGTGTCTTGGCGGCTTGTCTGACCATCTTTGACTGATAGATCAACACTTGCATTTTGGATTGTCTGAACAGTCCTCACACTGGCATTGCCAAGTGGGAGGAGTTGTCCCCTTGTTGTTTTGGCAGACCACCCTGGTTTGAATTGGCCAAAGGGTGTGAGCTTGGAAAAGCTGGCAAAATTATTTGTTGTATACAGATTCAAGTGGTGGAAGACATTTCCATATTACCGTTTGACAATTTTGGCATTCCCTTTGAATGAGAGGTGTTCATGAGGTTTGCATGTTGGGATTGTTCCTTTGTGAGCTCTCTGGCATGTAAATATCATTCATTTCTTTTAGAGAGCGCATTGAAATCCTGAGAGCAAACAAAATGTGAGTCAGTTTGGTTGAGACTACAGATCCAGCTCAGGTAGTCTTTTGTAACTTGACATTGGCTTGATTAACTGACCCACTGAGAGCTACTACAAGTATCCCTGTGATTGATCAATGAGCTCACCGTGTTTGGCTGGCCAAATGCCTTTCCAAAAAAGGACAGGATGGGACATTTCAGCCAGGTTTTTTGGGATACTGTGGGGAGGTATTGGAATTAGATGTTCATCCTCATTGTCTGTGTCAATCGCAATCACTTTGGGGGACAAGCTGCTTGTGGGCTTTTTTGGTTGACAAAGACAGAGGTGACGCTATCAAGGGTTGGTTGACATTTGAATCCTATTGAAAACAAGAAAAAAATAGACTCAATGTCTCATGAAACTGTACTGGAAGATAAATGTATTCTACCGTTGTGGAACTACTCTTGGGAGGAATAGAGCTTAGAGAGGGATGAATGCTTGAAGGGCTGCCTCTCAGGTTACTGGGAGAGTAAGAACAAGAAATGAGAGTATGGACTCTTAAAGAAAGGTGTGGCTAATGAAGATGTAAGATTTGATAAGTCTGTGTGAAATGTCTTAATTCTGTAATGCTAAATGTATTCCAAGTAAGTAATGCTAAATCGATGACCAGGGAGCAATAAAGACAGCTCTGATAGGGGAGAAATGGCAAGGGCCAAGAGAGCACCACATATAAGTCTTCTAGGGCAAAATACGAAAACAAGGAGCAAGGCATCATCACAGGGCACATGTAACAAAGCAAGAACATGGCTTGGGATTGGCATGTGTGACAAGGGTGAAACAAGGCTGAAGCAACAGGGATGGGAACATGACGTATGAGGCTACTTTAGGAAGTGCCATGGTATGTAATAAGGAGAAACAATGATGGTGAAGATCAGGGGTCTTTCCTAATAGTCTGGCTCTCTCTGCTGGTGAACTTTCTCCCACTTTATACCTGATTTGTACTTATTTTATTACCAAGTGTGGCTGATGATCCATGTGGAGTGTTACTGATGGGTTGTTGGACTTTGTGGTTCTGATGGAAGTGTCTGTGGGACGATTGAAGGTGCCATAAGTGTATTTACATGCGTAAGATGTTGGTTTGAGTGTTGTAGTGCCATGTAAAAGATGTGAAAATGGTCCAGAAAGGTGGTAAAAAGGTGTAACAAGTTTTGATTGGTCATACCACACCGTAATGGGTTTGCCATTGGTAGCTCTGTGCATAGCTGAGCCAACCAAGTAAAACTGCCAAACGTGTGCCTCAGTGGAGTGGCAGGCGTGTACGGGAATCTGGATGGATAACGTGCTGTGTTAGAGGTCTAGCAACTTGATCAGAGGAAACAAAAATTGTCATTGGATGATGGGAGGACTGGAGGGGAGGAAAAAGAAGAGCATGAACTAAGCCATCCGCACCAGGGCCTCCTCAACAGTCCAATTCAAGCAAAATCACTTAAGCACAAGCTCATACATGATAATATTCAACATTTAGCAGGATTGTTTCATTCTGCTTACCTGTGGTTATGATGTTTCCTGGATGTGATATGACAATAGGTATTTAGGCACATAATTTCTTGAAAGAGAAGAAACTTGGCATTGTTGGAACACATGCTCAAGAACCAGTGTAAAATGAGCAAATGTTCTACTTCAAATATGAAAGAAGCCAGGTGAATTTATCTTGATACTTATTGCTTTCTTTTTGAGTGACATAGGAAACAGCCCCTGTTGTGTCTCTGACCTGGGTTGTTGAGATCTTAAATTGGCAACCAGTTCTGGACTCCTTAGCCCAATTGGCACCTATATATCAAGCCTTTCAAGCATGTGTTATCATATAAATTACATCCAATCGCTGGCAAATGTGAAGTTCAAAGTGGGTATGAAGAAGATGGATTGGGAGATGAATGTGGACTAAAGATGATAACAGTAGACAAAGGTAAACACCAACATCATTGGAGACTATGTAGTAGAGCAGTTTAATAGGCATAAAGTATCATATCTGTGTTGGTAGAAAAGCCTAGCTGCATCCTGGCCCTTCAAGGGTCCAAGGTCTCTGACATAATATCTGATCTGGCCCAGGTAAATCTCTAGTGTCTACCCTTGGGTTAGAGACACAACAGGTCACTCTGAGAGCTTACCAGTTGATTGAACTTGTTTGTTGCCAAATATGGAGTCCTGCGGAGTCCATTTGAGAAATCTAATCACCAACTGAGTTTGAATTCTCACAAAGATCTTGAAATGAGCTGATACCAGTTGCTGGGTTAACATCATCATCAAGAGATCCAGGGCAGCACTTGTAAACTTGTGGAAGATCCATCTCAATGCTACATATGACTTGACAGATCTTACTAACATCAACTTCAATGTTTTTCACTTCCACATCAAAGACATTTGACCTCTAGACCTACCTACCTTACACTATAGAAGAGTAGTAGGAAATGCATTGGAATACACTCCTGCAGTGCAAAAATGGTGGTTTGGGATCCAATTCCGCAACAACCCACCCCTAAGAACTATTTGAGCACAGCCCTCAAACCAGGGAGGACTCCAAAGCAAAAGACTTGGTAAGACTTAACAGCCATACTAACCTCAATATGTACTTGGAGATATGTCATAGCCCTTACTGTGTGGCCAAACCTCCCCGCCATCAATTGCTTTTGTCTGCACCCAGTGCAGCTCCTAGGCAGCCTCTACAGAAATTTTCAACTGGTCAAATTGTCCATCCATCTGCCATGCAGTCATATGATCCATCCTAGGACAACTCTGGGCTGAATCAGTCAGATTATAATGCTCTTGATATCAAAGTTTAGGGAATATATATATAAATCAAACTTGCTCCAGCAATATCCACATTCCAACCCAGCAAGAAGGAATTAACCATGATCATTGTGTCAATCCAATTCCAATCAACCCAAACAGCCCCTGGAGCTCTCAGAATCCTAGCCATCTGTCAAGTCAGTTTATCAGCTAACAAATGGCTGCCCCAACTCCACCCAACCAAACAACTGACTGGATCACAGTTAGTCAAAATACGCCCATCCCACTACCTTTGGCCAACTCTTCCTCTCAGCAACCTGCCGCTACTCCATCCATGGCTGTATTCCCCACCACCCAACAAAAAATGAAAGTCAACAGTCACTGCTAATACTGCTGCAGCTGTAGTGAATCAAACGGTTGAATTGGACACCAATACTACTTCAGCCGCCAGCTCACACACAAATCCCACGTTGGTATCTTCAGAAACCACAACCACCCAATAAAAACCCCGTAAAAAAGATATCAAGCTTGCCAATGAGGTCATGTATAGCTTCAAAGATCTCACACCCTACATCAACATCAAAAGCTCCGGAAGGTGCATGTGAAACACAATCACTTGAATGAAGAAATAATTTTGTTTGCTCTTGCTCAAGCCTCAGCCAATTTTGAAGGGTCTTGCAGAATATCTTGGACAATGTCAAAAACCCGACAGAAGAAAAGTGCTTGGCACAAATTCAATCATCTGGACATACAGACAGCCCAAAAAAAACATCACCAAAGTAAGTAGCCATCTCTGCCTGATTGTTCTTGACAATGTTGTGCTGGTCACTCATGTTTTCTTTCATTCAGCTCACAACAATATTGGTCTGCAAAACAAGGAAGCCTCAAAGGGCTATAATCAGCTCAATCCAGTGGACAGAGATCTCCTCAAGCACAATGGTGTGATAACCCATGCCTTTCCATATCATCTATTATTTCACTGCACATTCACTGGGAATTATCATATTATTACTGATTATTCAGATTCTACACCCTCCTTTACCTATAGTCAGGCACTCAAGCTATATTTCATTTCTTACTGGATCACTAGTTATTGGCAGTCTTAGTTTTACAGATACTATTCTTTACATTTACAATACACATTAGCTACATACAGTACATACTTACAGATTGCTACATAAATCATATATTTCCAAGTACCATCTTTTACATATACCCCTTCTCATAACATCAGCTACACTCCTTTACAGTATTTCTTTTTACATTACATACTACATATATTTTTTCGGACACACTCTTCATAATTGTGCTTTCTCATATGCTTTTAGAATAACAGTAGTACACTCATTCACAGTCTTCATCTTTTGGGATTGTTTTTCTTTACTCATCCTCCTTTTTGATTGTTTACTTTTCACATCTCTTGTGCTACATATGTACATGTTGTTCCCATAGCCAGAATGACTGTAGACTGTGCTCATTTGTACCCTAGAGTATACATACAGTCTTCTTATCACTTGTACACCCCCTATGCATTTTCTACCCTACAGATATTATTGTGCCCCTCATGGATAAAATCTATTTTACTTTCAGAACTTATATCAATGACCTTGCCCTGTTTGGTGCATTGCCCCCAGAAATACCAATTACACACAGTGTCCTCAGAGATCTGCTTTATTTACAACTCTCATATTCTCACTTCTTCACTTGTGGGACTGATAAGGAACAAACTCATTGGTTATAGTAGCCTAAGAATCAGTTAGAAAGTAGTCACACCTCTTTCTTATTTCTTAGTATAACCCTCTCTCCTCAGCATTAGTCTTAGAGGGCAGCCTCATCAGCACTCATAGCCTTAACTTACATAACTAGTAGTGTAGATGTCTATTTCCCCTCAAAGCTCTGTTTCTGGTTGTTC